TCTGGGCCGCTGCTTTAGTACCACTGCAATGCCAGCTGGAAGGAAGCAGTGTGCTCGGTGCAGCAAGGCCTGAATTTTCTCCGGGTACCTACGCCAGGAAACATAACTGCTTTTAATGCATATGGAAATATCTACAATTCTTATACCATTTGCTTCCCCTATATCATCTTATTTTGTCTTAGTTTATCAAGAGTGAATAAAAAGGGACATGAGAGGTGAAAAAAAGATATTATGCATACTTTAACACTGTAGTACCAAAGAGGGGAAAATAAGTGGGAAGAAATGGAAAACAAAGAAAGGGATTATAGTAGCTCAATAAAAACAAAACTTACTATATTCTGAAATAAAGATAAAACCAGTTTATTCTTCTAAAAAGCAGTATTAAGCACTGTGAAAACAAAGCTAAAAGAGCTTTAATACTGTAAAGACCTGAATGTTAAGCATTTAATAGGTATTCAAATATAAATGGGTTGAACTAAAATGTTACTAAGCCTTGATCTTTTCTTCTGAATCAAGCCTAGTGTTTCACATAAGTCAAAGAATCCCACATACTGCCCTAGAACCAAAGGAAAAAAAAAGATGACACTTTATGCATTTGTTTTTAAAGGCCTCACATTTTTATCCATGGATGTTAATAACGGCCTCACTCCCTATGATAAACAAATGCAAAATATTGGGACTAGATGGAAACACGTTTGACTAAGAACTCAAAGATATATCTAAACTGGTTACAATGGTGCCTATGATCCCAGCTAACAGCAGGCTTAGGCAAGATGGTTGCTTGAGCCCAGTTCAGTGCTAACCTGGACTACATAGCAAGAGACTATTTAAAAACAAAACAAAGCCTCTGCTTCTTCACTATAAAATTCATAAATTTAACTTGTTAGTCAACTTCATGAAAAGGGATGCATAAAAATGTCTACCCATGTAGTTTAGTAAGACCTGTACTGCACTAAACCAAAAAGCTTTGCAACTATCAATATCAGTGTTATTTTTCTTACCCACTGATGCGCCTATTAACAGTGGCTCGTACGGATTCTGAAGCCAAAACCTTTTCTGGGTGTGCTGAGATTATATTTAATGCTTGTGAGATTGTTGGGGGAGTGGCGGGTAACCAGGATACTGTTTCAGATTTTTTTGGTACAGGAATAATGCACAACTCCCCATGATGGAAAAACACCTGCAAAATGGCACATTTTAATTTTCATAATAGGCACTGGTAAACTCTAGGTATATATGAAAATAATGCAGCATGACTTTATCCCTATCGGCACACTTACCCTATTGACACTATTATCAGGATCTAACCATTTAGGGAGAAAGTCAGCAGCTTCTATTAACAAGAATTCACCATCATTATCTTCAATCCTAATAAAAGAGACACATACTTGCTAGTTATTAAGACAGCTTTATTCGAATATATCTTGGTAGATAGCTGAACACATACTATTTGCAGATTTATACAAGAAAGCAAAATATTTAAGATAACACCAAACTTTAGAATATACTGGCCTGGTGTGGTGGCACACACCCTTAATCCCAGCACTCAGGGGCTAAGGAAGGAGGATCGTCGCAAGCTTTGAGGCCAGCCTGGACTATATAACCTGTCTCAAAAAAAAAAAAAAAAAAAAGACATACCCTAAAGGGGAATATGCAGATTATAAGTATAGCTGGAGAT